GCAGTTCAACAAAGACATTCAGTAAAAAATATTTCTGGTTATTGTTGCATTGGTCTCTTTTTAAAATAAAAAAAAAACCTTGGACTTCGAAACGTTCACAGCGATTGAATTCAAAGAATAAAGTATACGGCAGGCGGGGTGCAGTTGCAGATTGCAGATGCACCGGCCGCGCGTTGCAAAGTCGTCGCCGCCACTCATAATACGTCATCTGTGGTATTTTTTTTAACGAAACGATGATATAATATCAGTTATAAATTGGCGTATAATCCAATCACACACGTCATGAATACTTTGACGGTAAAAGATAATAAGTACAGTAAACTCTCGTTGTGTCTAAAATCGAGTAAGACGGAAAAAAGTCGGAAATATCGAGTGCTGAAGTTCATACTTATTACAAAAACGGTATTTCAACCGCTGAGTTCGAGATAACGAAAAATTCGAGATGTCGACGTACACCCAATGTAAACATTAAACTATAAACTGTATATATGACTACCGGACAAGTCCGTGCGTCGTTACGCTATTATAATGCACTTGCAGATGACGCTGAGTTAGTCGGGCGACAGACGGGTGGTGCAGATGAGTACCACAATAATAATCTCATTAAATAAGCTTCAAAGTCCATAAACTCGTGTGCATGACGTGTGCAGGTGGGTGGTACAGACAGCGAGTCTAAAAACGTACGAAAAAACGTGCCACGTCCAAAGACTCAAACAATAATATCGTAAAATTGTCGCCACTCGCGGCATATTGGGTACGATTTCCGGCCGCAGCAAATTGCGGTTCGCTCGTAATTTTTGCGGTTCGGTTAATAAAGCTATTTTTGTTTTTTTTTTTTACTTTTATCTATAATCTATAATAGCGTTATAATAATAATAATAATAATATAATAATAACGCGATGATAAAAATGTGAAAAAAAGCGTACACTAATAGTAATAATATAATAAAGACCCTCTGGTGAGATACAATAAAACGGATTACATCATGTCGTCCGGAACTTCTCATGTTACCATATTCACACAAGGGATGCCAACGATCGCCCACGAAGCTCGTTTATCGTCGACTACATCGGAGCGGCGGACGAAAACAAGTTAAGAGGCTTCTATTTAGAGGGGAAAAAACTAGTTTTTTCACCTCTGCCGTAATGAATGGTCTTCGCTTATTAGACTTCGTTTCTGTTTTTACTTTATTAAAATTTTTTCTTTTTTTTCCTCGACACAACTTGCCGCGCGACATTACGGTCGCACACCGAACAAAAGACCGAACATTATTACAATATAATATACAAGACGAGGACATCACGCGGGGATTAGTGCGTGTAGGTACCTATATATACGCAACACACGATTATGTTCGGTTGACGGATCGGTCGTGTCCCGCTAGTCGCTAGTACCTACGACAAAAATAATAACGACAACGTTATTTTGTGTTATTATGTGTAGCCGACAGGGTTCAGTAATATTCGTACATTTTATATTAAACGATGACGATTATATGATGAATAAATGCACTTACTGTCTTAGACATCAGCTGCAATTGGTTTGGCTTAAAATCTGCGGTACGACTGCACCTGCAGTAGATGCACCTAAATATGATATTTAAAACACCCGAAAGTCTGCATCGAGACCCGTGTAAGATATTTACGAGTTTATCGTAATATATTGTTTCGATATGTTCGACATGCTCACCCCTTTCCTCCCACCCACCAAAAAAAAAAATGCAGTTATTGAAAATCTGATTTTAAGAGTTTTTAAATTCACTTCAGGACCCCTGCTTTCAAATTCTTGACTTTTTATAATTATTTAAGCAGGAGTGTCCTTTGGATAGATTCAAACTCCTTTTTTCAAACAAACACGCCCATTTTGCTGATAATTATTCTGAACATTTTGACGAATCAAAATCAAAATTCAAACTAGTAGTTTCTGAGACATTTAACTTTATGGGCTAAGGATAATAAGACCATTATATTATAATTAATTCGAAATATATTATAAGGGCTATGGTGACATTTTTACAATGAATATTAATCCATCGAAACTTTTATAATTTACAAAAACGGTCCAAGTACAATAAACACTAATGATCCGTCTATATATTATGTCAATTTAATTTTGTAAAATCATTTTTAATTACTTTGGTCCTTGGTTTAAACATTTATATAACTGAAAAACTAATCGTTTAAATTTTGAATTAAAAAACATCAACATTAAACAAAATATATACACAACTTAAGTAATTTACAGTGAAAATAGTGGGTTCTCATATGAAAGACAGATAATTTGAATCACCGCATGGCACTATCCTTAAGTAGTACAAAAAATCTCTAGAATTTGAAAATACGGTCTGTAGATATATTTTTAAAAACTCCAAAAAAATACCAAGTTTGAATAAATTCGTTGTTAAACGAAAAAATGGTAGTGGTCATTGGCGTGAAGGGGGCGGCGGGGAACCTATTATATTATGTAATATATAGGTAATCACAGTGAGGCTTTCAGAGCCCTTTGAAATATAAATTCAACCGCCGTGCCCACGTGTATTAGTTTACGAGCTCAATTTAATATTGTTACACAGTAGTAGTTGAATATTGTATACATAGCTGCTGCAGGGGCAGTCAAACGGTCGTTCTCGGTTAGGTTAGGTTAGACCTCTAGGTCCACGACCCTTTGATGGAACCTATGATATTCTACATATTTTAGCAGATACATCAGTTACTCATCGCGTATCATTTGGATTGACCTTTTTGCGTGAAATGGCATTTTCTGGCATAAGAGTTGTATAAAAGCCGAGTACCGAGCTACGCACTTTCTGATTGTCATTCGGATCAGCGTCTCTCCGTTAAGAAGTTATTTCCAGATTTTATGATTAACTGGCCAGCGATATGGCCCACGCCCCACGGCGACACACTTCTACACAAACAGTATTATGATGCGTTAATTAATTTTGAAATCGATTAGAACTTTAACTGTGCGAAGCACTCGTCTTTAGATAAATTTTACACCGTAATCGTATTATTTATACAACATACAAGTAGGTACCCGTATGATGTTTATCGCGTTAATATTGGATACGAATAATAATACTTGAGAATAAAAACAAACTTTTTTACGTCAGTCGGTCCTCAGAGGTATTATAGCGATAGCAGTAAGACTGTACTCTCTGTGGATCTTAATCTAAAAAAAGTTTGCCCACCCCCGATTCCCTATATATATATATATATATATGTGTGTGTGTTTATATAATATATAATATGATACAACGAAGAAGGACTTGCGAGCATCGCCGTCGTCCTGCAGCCGAGATCCTTAGTACCCGTGCGGCGGGTTTCTGTTGGCCCAGATCTATAATATTATGTTATTGAACTCGGCGTGGCGCGTGTCTGCTTATACGCGTCGTATTTCAAGTACACGACGTATAAGAGAATGACTAAAAATATGTACGGTAAACGTCATTCATCGTTACCGCTTAACCGTTATACGTCTCCGTAGTTTGTAACCGTGTCACACGTCCCTGAGCGGTTACAACACCTTGCAGATACCACACTACACGTGTTCGGCGAATCGCGCTGTACCTACTTGTATGAGGCGACGGGAACAGGACAATAATACGATAATAATTAATAACACCTAAACAGCTGCGCGAAGGACGAATTAATCGCACACGACGATCGGACGATTATTAGCACCCACAGTGCGCGCCATCATATTTCTGTTTTTATTTGAAATGTATTTCTTCGCTTAAAGTCGTACGGTTCTGCGTTGTTCGTCCGTGCTTCGTACAGCTTAATATAATATTATGTAATATCATAATATGATATTATGTTTCAAATTGAAAGTCTTAATCGGGAACCGATTTGGACTTCGATTTTCACGTAAGTATGGCGACCAATCATTGGGAAGCATCCATTTTATTTTGTCCTTTATGATATGGTGCTATAAGGACTAAGGAGATAACAATATATTATATTGTGTTAATGTTGGTGAAAAACCCAAAAACGTTATATGTTTTTGTTTCTTTTATTATTTTTTTTTTTATTTTTAAAATCAACATAATAAATATTAAAACACCATATTTTTATACATGTACAATCAAGAGATTACTGACACAATAATAGTAATAATAATAATATATATAGAAAACAGTGATGTTCTACCACATAACACTTTGGTTTTAGCTAATAATATTTACAAAGTATGTATAAGGTAAAATCATAATATAATGTAAAGATATAATAATAATATTGTATTATAATAATATTATCTAAGATGTGGTACGTAGTCAGCAACTATATAATTGTATATAATAATAATAATAATAATAATATACAGTTAAGTAATAATTAATAATAATAATAATAATAATAATATATAATACAGATAGCGAACGTTTTAATAACTTAAAAAAATATATAGAATCACAGACGTATAGAAATAATATATATTTAATAATAGTACATACGCGCGTTAAGAACGACGTATTTATTAATAATGATAATGATAAAAATAATAATAATAATAATAATAATTTTCCCCTCCCGAAATCGCTATGTCGACGAGGAAAGTTATTACATTATAAAAATAATATAATACAAACGTGTAATACAAATAATTACGGTACAATAATATATTACAAATATTTGAAAGAAAACGTTAAAAGATTTTTGTGTGCGTTGAAATAATATAATTATTATATTATATTATTCGCTCTGAGTGTAAAAATACGATTTTTTTTTGTTTTTTTTTTTCATTTTAAAATATTAAATAATATTTTCGTGTGGATATAATAATGTATTTATATATATATATATATATACATACATAAATATTTTATGCATAGGAACTGTAGAACTGCAGTTTAAGTAAATATAATATGTTTTCAAACGTCACGTAGCGGATTATCTATAATAATATTATAAAATTCTACGCCACTCGGATCGGCGATGATCGTCGCTGTAGGTACACAAGTCTGTGTTAGCCACATATTTATGTGTGTGTGTGTGTGTGTGTGTGTGTGTGTGTGTGTGTTCAGTCTACGGTCGTGTTTCGGGTAGATCGAATACTATAATGACATTATGGTATGGTCTATTATAAACGAGGCACAACACCTACCACGAATAAATGATATTGTAAAATATCCGAACACGACGACCTGCAAACGGGAGAGCATTGTGTTACACTGAACTCGGAAGGATTTCGTACGGATTGTGAAATCGGAAACTTTCCCGATGGTCTCCGGGTGGCCCACACTTGGTTATAAGTTGTTACGATAAATTTTTTTTTTTCAATGATCACCATCATATTTTAATCATCGCTTCCCGGGGAGTTTTAGCTATCACCTGCTGTAAGTGGCGAATTTTCAAAAGTAAACCCTTAATAATTACTTGAGTTGAATTAACTACTGTTTGGCGTAAAGTGTTATCCTTTCAAATCAGAGCGATTGTTGCCGTTTCGATTCGTTAGCCCTGAAGCGGTCTTGGAGCTCTATGTCAAAATTAAGAAACCTTGCAGACGAACACCTACAGAACATAATGTAGTCACGTTCGCAATTTTTAGTTTTATAAAAAACAGAAACGCAACAAACATAATAATAAAATGAACAAGTCTAAGTGGCAATTTGTAACGGTCTTCGTTATAGCACGCCGAGCTGTTGTTATTAGATAAGTTTATAAAGAGCCAAAAAAATTAGCCTAAAGTGTCTGAAGATTTAAAGTAAGTTGAGTGCATTGTATAATTTTAAGTCCGAATTTAAAGAAAAATGTTCTGCTGTCACGTTTAATATTGTACATTATTCATCGTGAAAAAATAAACATTATTTAGGTAGGTAGTCTATGAATACTGGTCGATTTTGTATTATTCGCTGCAGGCCAGTAATTATTATCTGTCGTAGGGTCCAGATGTGACCCCTTAAAGTCTCTCGCTTTTTGGCTGGCGACGAACAACGACGTTTCATTTATTTTTATTTTTATTGGTTCACTGTCCACTTTCCGCGAAAAGTCGAACGACGATTGCCAAATAATAATAGTATAGTGGCGGAATTTAATTTAATTTAAAAGTGATGGAATTTGACGATTCGCTGGCCTCCTTTACATAGAGCTATAAAACCGTCAAGCAGGCGGTAGTCAAGTAAAAGACGTTTGTATTGAGCTCAATACGTCGGAAGTAACACGTCATTTGATAAAAAAAAAAACAAAAATCATTAGTTTTCGATAAAATAAAAAAACAATACACGATCGCGAAGGTGTGTAGGTACCTACCGCCGCGGAGAATGACAAGTCGTCGTTAAGTGATTAAAAATTATTTGATTTAAACGCGGTGCACCTACACATATACCAACAACACACACACACACACACACACACATGTATATATATATATATATATATATGTGTATACTGTTGTAGAAAACGTGCGGATGTCCTTGGGAGATTGTGTTTCTGTAAACATGTTTGCCGTAATGTATGACACCGAATATCCTGCGCGCTAATTGTCACCGAGGATTTTGCGCGGAACGGACAGGAGAAAAAAAATGAAACGCAGAAACACAAATTATGACAGCTGCGCAGGAACAATGCTAAACGACTACGGCGAAAATACCTATGCCATTTATTTAATAATAAAATGTATTATTAAATCTTTCGCCTGTAACGTTCCGCGACTGGTTTTATTTATTTTTTATTTTTTTTCCGATGCCATTTTCGAATAGTTTTAAATCTCATTGACGAAATATTACAGTACCTATACCTACGGATAAACCAGTTTGCCGCGCGCTCGATCTAGTCTAGACGGAACGACGGTCACGATGACACCGTATAGTCCGTATAATAAACACACGAAAAGTCGAAAAGGCGGTTTTTTTTCTTGTATTTTTAGTATTATTTTAATACTCCCGATTCGCTTTGGTAGATATTATTAATATTGTCATTTCGGTGTCCGACAAATCCGGCCCGACGGGCGACTGAGCCACAGTGGCGGATTATAATATAGCCGACCTAACCTGCAGAGCGCTGCCGCTTTTATAGTTTTTAAACGCGACAGACAAAATACGAATCGTTAGGACTTACTTTCTGGTCTCGCGGGTTTCTCGATACGTTTAGGATTATTGGTGTGGGACGTTCGAAAAAAAATGGTTTGGTAGCCAAAAAAATATAATCACTACAAACTCAATATTATGTACATTTTATACAATGATGCTTACGTGAAGCATCTCATTTCTCTCGTCGTCCCTTCAAACTGCAGTACAGAACCGTTCGAACGACCATATTATTATAATCGCGTTTTCGGTATCATTGTTTTTAAAGTTTAATTACGACAATTCAAGAAAAAATAATAATAAAATGTACGTCAAAAATATTTTAATATGTCTAAACAATACGGTTTGTCACTTCGTAAATTTGCGTTCGGAATTATTAAGAATTTAACGATGTCTGTCCTTGTAAAGATGTCAAATAAAATAATTATAGAGAGTTACGTCCGAGGAACATAATAATATGATGTAGCTGATATTGAGATGTGTTCTAACTGCAGTAAAGCTTGTGGACATATAGGCATACATAGCTTTTGAAAAACGATTTACCAACTAGAAAGTATATAATATTATGATACATATTTTTGGAAAACTGTTTCTAAGTTGTTCTGCTAAAATACTGTTTATGCGTATAGGTACCTTCCGGATACACGTAATATTCTACTAATGTAAACCAAATAAGCTAATGAGTGGACTACATAACCGTACAACTATTTCTATATTAACGACGAATAGTGACTAAAAATAGAATTATAATATATTATCGCAGGAGGTGTAACAGAAACAACTGACAAATTCAATTTTGACCAACTATGAGATAACTTTTTTTATCGTAATTTATATGAATATTCTATACATAACTAACATGATTAATCATAACAATATAGTTTACTTTAAAAGGAAAAATGATTACGATCATTACAACTGTCGGGTATTTCTGTGGTGCCCTGCGGTACCTATTTAATAGGAGTAAGGGTATTTAATGCGAAGAACAAAATATTATGATAATATGATAATAATTATGGTATTTACAAAACGAAGCGCAAACGGGTCGAATATTAATTAAATTTAATGTAACAATATTGATTAGCATAATACATTTGCATACGGCGCAGTAAGGGTACACCCACATAGCAAAGGATCTATATCGGGGGCAGGAGACGATTTTCGGGAGCGGAGGAACTGCAATATGATTTGTATAAACTCGGGCTGTCGCGAACGTATATTATTATAACATTAATGAAGATCGACCCGCAGTAATATAGGTGAATATAATATTGTATCGATGACGAGTGACGTGGGAAATCGACTGATTTTGCTCAGATTTAAAGTGATCTACTTTAGACTTTCACTGTACCTACATTTGATAATGCAAGGACCCATCAGAGCAGTGACGCCGTTAATTTTTTTTGTTTTTCGTGCTCACATATTTGTACGCGGGTCGCTGCAAACCCTGCTGTATAATCGCCGATTTTTTTTTTATCGAATTTTCGGGTCGACCGGTTTTGAAAAATCGTGCTGTACTTAATCACAATAATTCATACGCAATAAGTGTGTTTGTATCGCGCGGTCCTTTAAATTACGGCACTATACACAACTAGACATTCGTCGATTGATATTACAATTAGGTTTTTTAGCGGTTGTTCGCGAGTAAATCATTTCTTTTTTTTATATCAAGGCACAGGTTGTTGTTTCGACGCCTATATTGTCCGCACGTGCAGTAATAACATAATTGTACATCATAATTGTATAGTGTCATTATTTTCGGCTAGCGACGCGATTCGTGAAAAACGACATTAATCAGGGCCAGTGGTATATTATGCGTCAAAGACCGAAAGTCCTGGGATGGACCGCATTCAATGCGTTACGTATAAGTACTTATTGTATTACGATTGATTTCGCATAGTTCTGAAATATTCGATTTATAATATAATATACAGTTGTGTCGCGAGCGCATTTCGGGTGCCGAGATAACATGCGCCCCGGACACCCTTCCACCCTCTCCCACCCACAACGCTATATATATATATATGTATATTTCATGACACATAACATAATAACACACGTTATTGTACCGCAGTCGTGCAGTATAATAATCGTATATTATTCGCGCTAGACAACTATAATAATAATATTATTGTGATATTAGACGATTGACCGTATATAACATCGCACTACCTATATTATACGCGTGTGTGTATGCATTTAAGTACATATTATGTTTTGCCGCGGACAATTCGATTTGGACGCCGACGACGGGGGGAGGGCTGCAGCCCGGAAGTCGCCGGGGTGTTCCGCAGTCGTCGCGTCCGTCGAGTTCGACGGCACACACAATAACGATAAGACATTGTAAATTTATACCTACCATATATGCCAATTTATACCGCGTATACCACGCGGGTGGGTCCAGCGAACAACCCGTTTGCCGGGCGAATCCGTTTCTGTCGCCCGAAACTATATATTATATTACATTAATATTACATATTATGCAGCGTATAATAATATATTATGACTCCCGCCGCCGCCGACGAGTGGGTGGTGGTGTGCGCTTAAACAATAATCGTATCGTCGTTTTTACAATAATTACGACGACGAACGACGTTGTGCCGTGCGTGGAGCGACGCTCGTGCAGTGTGGGTGCTGTGCGGGTGCGACCGGCGGGTGCGCGTCTCCGCCGCCGCCGCCGCTGCTTCATTGCTGGCCACCGTTGTAGCCAGACACCCACTGTCATAAGGAATGGTAGTCGTGCAGTAGCGAAGGGTCGGCGGGGTGACCGGCGGCGATCTGCTGCAAGTGGCTGTGGTGGTCGCCGTTGCCGACGACGCCGCCGCCGCCGACGCCGGTGGCTATCAACGGGCGACTGCCGATGGGCGACCCGAACCCGCCGACGATGCCGCCGCCGCCTCCTCCGCCGCCGCCGCCTCCTATACCGCCGCCGATCAGATGCGCCTGGTGGTGGTACGCAGCGGCCGCGGCCGCCGAGTTGGCCATCATGGACATGCCGCCCGCGCCCACGCCTCCGACGCCGGACATCGACGACTTGAGGTCGCCTCCGCCTCCGAACATCATCTCGTGGCTGGACAGGTGGTCCTGAAACATATTGAGGGTTCGTGTTATGACGACGTCGGATATAATGATTATAATATTTTGACGACGAAACGTTTTCAGTCGATTGATTGATTATATTATTATTTCCGTACATGGACTAGATGAATTAAAGAGGGGGGGGGGAGGGAGTTGCTGGCCGATAAAACGTATATTTCCACAGGTAACGACCAACGTTTATGAATCGACCCAACACCTAGAGCATGAGAAAAATAACTAATAATTAATACGATTAAATTGATTACGCGTATTTTTGTTTCGTTTCATTCATTGTTGCAGATCTTCAACGATGCGCCAGTATTATATTGTGATGAATAAGAGTTGGGTTTTGAAAAATAATGCATTTGCTTATATAAGTTAAGGTTTAGATTTATATTTATAGGACTGGTATTTGGATGCAATTTACTAACTGTTTTAAGAAGCTAGGCGACGTTCGTCTTATAACATATATATATATGTATAAACGTTTCATGTACTTTCTTAATCAGAAGAAGTCTTGGGATTGTTGACAATTTTCGATTTCGAGGTCAATTTTTTAGAGGGATTTATGGCATTTAACAATAAAATCTGGTATTTTAATTTAATTTTAAGATTTTACTTGAGAACTTTGTAATATGCAAACAAGGTTTACGGAAGTAAATAACAAATAAAAAATATATAACTAATGTTCTTTACAGATATTAATATTTTTAAATCGTTGTTTTTCGAACAGATACGTATTATGATTACAAAATAAAGGGTACGAATAGCAACAGAAAATAATTTATTAAAAAACTTGAAATATTTAACAAAAAGTTTTCATTCAATATTCGTTTTCAAAATCTGAATCATATAAAAAGAAAAGTACTGAATAAATAAATTGATGAAATTACTAGTTACTAGAGCAATAGATATGGCAAAACTTAAAATAGTTTAAATATTTTATCTTATTTATTAATTTATTATGATTTACGCCAGATCTAACATAGTTTCAATATTTCTCACATATGAGATTAGAGCAGCTAACTATAAGAATACGAAAAATTGAACCAAATAATATGTACCTAGATGTAAGTTACTTACTAATTACCAAATATTTTTAGAAAATTCATTTAATTCGAAATATGGGTTGAAAATATTATGCAACAATGACGACTTTTTATTTTCTTCGGGGTGTATCTTCCTATAGGTATTATGAAACGCGTGATCGTTTTTTTCAAAACAATTAAGAAATCTGAGTTCAATAAAATCTTGTACTTTCATACAAATCCTTCCCCTTCCCTAATTATCAATATATTAGGCAAAACAGCTGCCATAGCCCATATTCGATTTGAGTTCTTGACTGTTAACCGTTTCTATGGCAGTGTAATAATAATAATAATAATGTTTAAATGGCGATCTACCGTCGAGAATACGCGTTGTTAAACCGTCAAGGCAATTCGCTCGATTCCGCACGCTATGAGCATTATATGAATTAGTAATGACGATAATAATAATAATAATAATAATAATAATAACAATAATGATAATATGGTATTGGATCAATATTAAAATGTATTCGTATGCCAAAACGCCGTGAACACGAACGCTTTTCGGCGATGTCGAGCTATGCAGTGCAATAACGTTGATATTTTTATGTATATTACAATATAAATGTTTGAAAAAGTTATTTTTAAACGAAACATTGGCGGTCCCGGGCCTACAAAGCATATTATTATATTACATACAAGCTGGCTGTGCCACTTGCGAAGTCTTTTGGGCCGCACGCAGCGCGTGTGAGTTGTCCTCTAAAATTCATAGCTAAAATTCATTTATACACCTACTGCAGTTATTATAATACGAATAGGAACTTACACAATAATTGTGTGTTTTCGACCGAGATGATCTATTGCGTTCAGTCCGATTCCAATTTTTAAAGGCTATATTTTTGAGTTTATAAATACCTGTGTAGGTGTATAGTTATTATTTGTTTTGAATTGTGCTTACTACATAAAATATCAGTAATATTTTAATTTTTGGCAAGTATATTAATATAACACCACAACTGCAATGTTGTATTTTGCAACGTAATGATGAATTATAATAGGTACATTTTGATTAACATTAATCGAAAAATGAATAATCTAATCTAATTTTCATTATTAGTCACAAAAAATACGATTCAATTAATAATAATATATTTTATAATCATACATAATAGCTTAAAAATATCCTTATTGCAGTTACTACCCAAATAAACTATGTTTTTTAATCAGTTTAATTATACATATTTTTTAAATGAACAAAAAATAATATCATATACAAAAACAATAAATATTTTTACTAAACATTAACATGATACCTATGTTTAACTACTTAAATTTATTTCATTATTTTTTAATAAGCTGTTGGTACATCTGGTATAAGTATATGTAATATTATACTGAGTATTATTATTTTTTGGATTTGTTAGTAATTATTGTAATGCGGTTTGGGTATTCAATTTTAGCAAAAATAACACATTGAGAAAATTACCATTGTCGCTGAAATAATTATTTGAGAAAATTTATTATAAATATAATTTTAAATGTATTATTTTAATATTTCAGCTAGGTACTACTTTCTAAATAATATTACAAAGTAATTAAAAAATGAAATTATTGTGATTGTTTTTCAAATGTATTGAATTAAAAACATTTCTTATTACTATTCACTATGCATATATTGATAAGTATTTCAACTTAGACTAAAATAAATTGGCAACACTACAGTATTGTAACGTAGAACCTATTCCGGAACAAAAAATGAACAAGTGAATTGTTCTATCGGTGTGAGCTGCACTGAATGAAAGCCAAAGGTATGTTTCGTATACGACGACAGTACTTACCCATAACAATAATATCTTATACATTTATATATTGCGGAACATTTATAACAAAACTCTTTCGAAATCGAATTGACCTTTAGTAATGATTACTCTAGACGACGACAGATAAATGGACAAAACTTTTGGCTTGATTTTATACTCGCATACCTTCCAGCAGAGATAGGTTTAAACGTTCAATTACTTTTAAATTTAGAACCATACCCGATCGACAAATGTGTAAGTACACGATTCGACGGTTGTCTGAGTAAATTATACACAAGTACCTACCTAAGCACACCAAACGAGTGATGAGTTACAAGGCTCAAAGCCGTGGAATTTAATGAAAATAATTAACTCAAGTTATGTTAAGCGAATACAAAATTGTTAAGTTAGAAGTTAGCAGTAGTGAAATAATAAATTTAACCAGTTAAGTTTAAAGTTAATATTGAAAAAAAAAAAAAAACTTAATTCAGTTTAAAAAAAAAAAGTTGGTTGATTGTTTGATTAAAAATGTTTTTTAAAATATTTTTAATTTGAATTTAATGGATTAATTTTAAATCAGCATCTTAATTGTATTACAGGTTAGGTTGGATTTTATCGAGAGAGTGATGGTTGGCTTTTAGTAAGACTCGATTTTATATAATTATCACGATACATAGGTGCATCGAGAAAAAATTATTAATAAAATATGCGTTATTCGCTTCGTACTTCACGTGCACACAATATATCACTAATCATAATCTGCTGAAATTTGTTTTCCCATTTGATTTTTACTATTGTATTATATGCCAGGCTACGGTTTGGGCGCTCGCAAATAGATTGAGATCGTGAAATCACTGAAACTTTAATATTGTACGATTCGCGTCCACTGCTCCGGAAAACGTACAAGCGTCAAACACGATTTTAATAATAATAAAAATATTACTATATAGTCATACACTACGCCGGGTTTTGATTGTTTGCCGAATTTAATAATATAACATTATTATTATTATTGTTATGCATATTATCGTTAAAATAATAATTATCATCATCATCGTCATCGCGGTCTCGTTGGCCGCGCGAGCGTTGTATAATATTATAATAGTAATAATAATTGTAGGCCACACGCGGCCGATTTGTATGTACGTACAATAATTGGCAATCGTTCAAACCGATTGTATTTGCCAAAAAGGAAACAGCTGCGCAGCGTCCAACACAACGGTTTCCGGTCACGATTTTTTTCTTCTTATTTTTTACCATCGGCTGCACCGTCATCGCGTCATTATTGTTTTAATCATATTTTATTTTTACGCCGATCCGACACGGCACGGCCGGCGTCATGTCATTTGCGATATTTACATAGCGATCATTATTACACGACAAAATATTATATGTCCACCGTCAAACGAAGTAATAATAATATTAACGTATGAAATTATAAAAACGTTGCCGGCGACAGGTAGTTGAAATATTTTTATCCGTTTGAAAAGTTTTATTGAAAAATAACCAAGCTGCAGTATATCAGTATACCTATTATATACATAATACAAGGAAAAAATACCCACAAAAAAACATTGACCCTGCAACAGGGAAAAAGCCAAAATTCTCGGTTTGATTTTTTAATAGAAATTTTACGGGTTATAATTTAAGACGTTTTATTGAATTGCCAGACAAGTTAGGATTTTTATTGAATACAATTTTTACATAAGACTTAAATTTAATTTTTGTTTTTTTAATTAACATTATAAAAAACTTATGTATACCGTATAGTGTACAAATAAATGTATGGCTATAGTCTATATTGTATATATAGGTATCAACTAAATATTGTTTAATTTATAAAATGCCATAGCCCGTACCGACCCGGTAGGTATATCCCGATGTTCATTGCCACTCATTGGCTTTTGTTTTCGTCGAGTATTTTGTTTGACCGACTACCCACCGCATAATAATCGTATACCTTATACCTATTGACAAGAACTGTGTACGCTAAACAACAGCATTACCAGCGGCCTGCAAACCACTCGCAGTGATATTGTGTAGACTGTCTACGAAATACAATATTATATTTACCTAGTACTAGGTACCCCTCACTTCCATACACACGAGTAACTCAGTCACCAAAAATCGCACTCTACGTTTCCACACTCGGTGCGGAATCACTTCTTGTCTGTTAGTACAACGCAAGCCTGTCAAGTCAATGATAATTTTCAACCAATTCAAGTTAATAGAAAACATTTTAAAAACTTTAAAGCTAATAGTTTCCCTAATTTTTTTTAACTCAGTAAAATTAAAATAATATGGAAACTTCCAATTAACTTGTTAATTTTTTTTTTTTTTTACATAAACAGGCACACTAATTTTGTTTGAATAAAAAGTAAATGTTTACGCAATAACAAGGAGTGTAGACCATCGATAACAATAGTATTATATTATTTACTATTTAATTATTTATGAATTAACGCGTAACATCAATTTGATAAAAAGTGACTCGTTATTAATTAAATTTATATCAGTAAAAATCAGTTAAGTTAAAAATAAAGTTGACGAAAATTAAATTTAAATAAGTTAAAATTATCTCGACTATAACTTTTTAACTCGTTTATGCCCAGGGTTATTGGTATAATGTACCTATATCATAATATTATTATAGTATACAACAATCGAGACGGGCAAGTATTAAAGACGATATTATATGAATTATTATAAATTATTAAAAACTTGAATTTATAGTTCTTTTTTTTCAACAACTATGATAAATTTACTATATTTTAATAATATGTTGTATATTAGGTACAGAGATACGTAAAACAGTAAATAGTTGTGCGATCTCACCTGGCCTGTGATCATCGAGTGCCCGAACGATATTGCGCTGGGTTTGTGCAGCATGTGTATGTGGGACTTCATGTTGTCGCCGTCGATGGATTCGGACGAGCTGGAGTCCAAGTTGGACGGCGGGCCGCCGACCATCTTCTCGCATCCGTCGCCCATTCCCGTGGGACTCCGGCTACCGGACATGCTGTGGGAAGAGAAAAAAAATGCACAATAAATTAATACGACGCCGATTAAACGTGCAGATGCATCGTGTTCCAAGTGCAAGACCACTAAGACGCGTACGACAGTGTCACGAGAATTATTATATTATTTGATATCTTACGAGCGGTGAGTCTGTATAGCACTATGCAATATAGCCATCACCTAGGGTCCTATCTGTTGATCGATTGATCGATGTGGGGCGAGAGGAGTAGAATTTTTAACCTTGCAAAAGGATCGAATTCAAACGTACGTACACAAAACCGTCGTAATGCGTGATATTTTTCGACAATGTATGATGTGTGAATTCATCTACACACTATAGCGTACACAAGGGCTTTTTTGAAATTCGAGTAATTTAATATTTTTAATTGTTTATATTATAATTTACAGCTCATTGTTAATTAAGCGCATTTAATTATTATATAACCATAACATTTTTTTTTTTTACTTCAAATATTTTTACATAATATCACATTTATAGCTATTTACAAGTTTGTCGATACCACAATGAAACAATTCCGTGTTTAAAAATGCCAAAAAAAATGACACGAAAATGTTAATGTATTAAACGATGTATACATGCAGTAGGTTAATTACTACCAAAATGGCCAAAATGCTTTAAAAAAAAACATTATCCGATCTAGGTAGTTATATAAGGTGGGTACTATAAAAAACGAAAATTCCTGCAAAGCATCATCGACCAATGTGCCCTATCGATGATATGTTATAGTATAGTTCAACATACTTCGTGATGATAAAATAGAAAGATGTTCACAATTTAGACATGGGCACGGTTTAATCGTAGCTAAGTAGACATGACAACAAGACGACCGCCATGGGTTTGATTTTTATTTCACTTCCAACAGGAATCAACACAACCAATCTATTTATGCTGTCTATAGGTGATCGGCCGGTAATATTAATATCATGGTAGTGTTTATTAATTTATAAGTTCATATTATTTTTTCCAGGTGGGGGGGGGGGGGCAAGTGCCCTGTCTTACACCAACCAAACAGGCGCCAATATTCAAAGATGGTATACAAAATAATATAATGTTTTATTATGATGAATTTTAAACTCTTAATATATAAATTGCAGTCGCAGATATCGACCGATATACTAATATTTTATACACTTAGCCCGCCGACTCGGAGCGAGTACAGAAAACGGCATTACCAGCACACAATTATACAGGTACATTACACACGCACAGGTACCGGGTATATGGTATAATATTATTATTGTATGGGCACGCAATAACCGGTCATTATAACGCGCGAGTGTACTATAATATGCGTATAATAATAATATTCATTGTCATTATAATAATATTGTTGGTCGTCGACGTGTAGTGTGGACAAAGTCGAAAAAAAACTCGAAAACCAGTTTTTATCCGCGAATCCAAGCCATTCATTGTTAATATTTTCTTAAATCTCATGATAATCATAATAATAGTATTATTATTGTATTACAGAGGTGGCAATAATGGCCAACAACGTCGAACGTCCGCGTTATGCGTTTGTCTAGCGTCCAGCTTTGAGCATATTATACATTATACGCTTCGATATTATTATCATCGTTGTTATTATAAATTTGGTATAATAATATAAATCATGTTTGTTTGTGCGTATTTTTTTACTTATATTTCTTAACGACTCGCACGACCGTCAAACGCCGTTCGTGGGACGTATAATACGCGGAGCAAAATAATGAAAATAATATAAAATCACACGGACTGCGCGATGACTGAAAAACAAAAAAAATCACAAGACCGTTTAGAGGTAAACATCGTTTGCGTTTACATTATTTTTAGCTCGGTCGATCCAGTTATTATATACATGTTATCACAATTCACTGCAGATCGGCAGCACCGTGCAGCAGCTGTTAATAATTATTAGTCAAACGTCTAATGTACAATAACAGTGTTCGGAATGCACACAACAGCGTTTTAATAAGTATTATTATTGTTATTGTTATTGTCGATTACGCGTTCTGCCAAACATATTATTATTATTGTATCGCCCGGTTTAATATACGTAATAGGCTTGAGATAATGTTTATTTTTCGTTTCGACCGATAGCCGACGTTGAACACTGCAGCAGCAGCTCTGATAATTGCGTTAACACATCAAAGCTCTTATCGTTGGAGGTGGTTACCTATTGGTACACATTATTATTGTATTCTCGAGACAGTTCCGTAGCCGGCTGGGAGGGGTGTTTTTTTTTTTGGGGGGGGGGAGTTTATTGAAACCCCTCAATAATTGTGTGTTTACGTAAATGTATGTATAGTGTCATATAGTTGTTGTAATAGTGTTACACTTCATGTTTCGGATTTATAAACAAGTATAAAATTGTCAGTCACGGTTCTATTTCACACTTCAAAATATTGTATCGATAACAATATTATGCGAACGTCGACGACTGCAGCAGAGTGTGTACTGCGGGTCCCCGCACGAGTTATATTTTTAAACGATTTGCAACTAAAAACACCACCATAAAAAACAAAATTCTCCTGGCTGCTCGCCTGTGATTCGAGATGTATACGAATTCACTGCGTATACGCAATAGAACGGAAGATTTGATAACCGCGAAGGACCGCCAATATCGTTTCGTCCGACTGTTTATTGCGTATCCGTTCGGATGTCATATCAACGCATTTTATGGGCACTCAAACGCGTTAAAAAATACGCCAATCAAATGGTTATTTTTCAACAGATGCGTTGTCTCGGGCTTTGTTCCACATAAATGAATGCCTAAGGTTAGGTAATAAAATGTGGCGGGAAAGCGTGCGTTGAATGTTCCCGGCGGTTCGACGAAAACAAGATCCGCGGCAGTTATAAACTATAATGTAACATGTATCTCGTATATAATATAGTTGAGCTCAATGAAAATCTTATAGAAATAATTATAGAAATCCGGACGGATCTGTTGGATCTCCAGTAAAAACTACTTTAGAGATATTTTTTTTTTGAATTCATATCTCAAGTCCGCTCACTGCGAAATCCGCAGTGGTTCGCGAAACGGAAAAGTCCAATGGAAATAACTGTGTGCGCAAGATATAATATAGTAATAATATTATAATATTTTTTGTACGTTTCGAGGATGACGGCTGCAGCAGACTAGTGCGATGAACCACAACCCGTGTACATACATATATATATATATATATATACCCCACAATGTGGCGCGTATTATCCCTTGGCAATACCGTATAATATATTATTATAATTATTAATAAACGATTCGCCCTTGCCCTCGAATGCCGCCGCTTGACCGCATATATAGAGACCATTGTGTCATGATGATTTTAAAATATGACATATTTTCGTATGGTGTGCAATGTACAGTCTGTTAGTATAATATGTCGCACTAACTTTAGTGCAGTAGCTATTATAACGCGAGACGAGGCGAGTACAACAACTGCATCGCGGTTGTGTTATAGATAATTGCACATAGAAGTTGTAATAATAATAATAAAATGTAATTATATTACATCGCCCAGAGCATAATGATATCGTCATTACGTTAGTCTTCGACCTACTGCTGAGCCGTCAGATGACCGCATTGAAAAATCTACAAAATGTTTGAACAAGCGATTACGGCGCCAAAAATCAACGGTTTTCGACACTGTTATTTCCAAACGAACATCTATAGTATTTTTGTACGGCAATCGAAAGAGATAATATGACCATATGAATATTAATGTGCACATTGCACGTAGTGTTATAATAATAATATTAGAATACGCAATATTATAATAACTGCACTACGATACCTAAAAGCTGCCCGATGATCGCGATAATTCACACGTCTCGTCCGCAATACAGCTGGTACCCGTAACGCGTTGTGCGGGCTACCCAATTCGGTTTCGTTTAATCGAGATCTATAGCCCCTCTTCGCGGGCACTCGAAACAATCGATAATAATATATATTATCAGAGCTGCGGTTAAAATTCCCTCGATCGCTCAAGCTCACGCCCGCCTACACGCAGAGGGGCTTTTACCTCGCGCACTGGGCGACACACACGTGTTTGACGTGTAATTTATTTCGTTCTCGTATAGCGCCCAGGCATTATTTTCGGCGCGCCCGAGTAATATTTGAGCTCGCGGTAACTGGTTACATATAACCGCGCCGGTATACCCGCTTCGTTCGGCCGAAAACAATATTTTATTCACGACTCCCGAGGCTATCTATTATCGCGACAATCGTCTTGCACAGCGGCGGCGAAACCTCTGAATAGCGAGACACTCCCGGCGGCGTCCGGCGTTTATGGAACGGTGTGTCCCTCACGGGGGAGGTACGGCAACGACGACGACGACGACGACAACGATGATAATAATAACGCGCTTATATGTTGATATGTGTACGATTAAATAAGTATAATGCCATCACATGCACATCGGCACGCCCAACGGCAACACAATCGTTATACCATTCGAATCCGATGCACTTCTGCGCGTCATGTACGATATATATATATATATATATATATATATATGTATATGGGTAGGTGGCGGGTTGACGTTGAGTAAATCGTACAGTATAATATTATTGTTGGGCGTCACGGCGGACGGCGATAGCAATAATAATAATAATAATAGCGATAACGATATTAAAGGGTGCCCCGCGAGAGAGGTGGAGCTGTTTGGATTCTCGCACGGCTGCCGCGTACCCATACGCGTATACATTGCGGTCGGCGGACTCGACGTTAATTCGATCGGAAACGCTTCCCCTAGGTATGTCATTAGCCCGTCACCACCACCCCCTCCCACCATACCATCCCACAGACACGCACTGAATACAATAATAATAATAATAATAATAATAATAATAAATACGCGCACCACTGTGTGGCTCCGGCGTATTAGTGGTTGCCACGTCGTCGTCTTGCTCGTATGGTTTTTCGTCGTCGTCCGGTGTCGCGTTTCTCCGGGAGCTTATATACATTATTATTATTATCACTCTCGCTCGGGCTCCTCCCGGT